CAGTTCTCCGTCACGGAGGTGGCCTTTTTCTGCAAGTGGATCAACGAGCAGCTTGGTGCTTTGTTTCTCAATGACTCGATGAGGATCATGACTTCTTTGTTCATGATGGGAACACAACTGACTCTCTTGACTCTCCTACTGTTTGTTTATTGTATATGAATAGAACCTCTCTCGAGTGCACTCTGGCTGTCACGTGGTTTGCTTCTGAGACGACCCGGTAAACCACTGGCTTTATGGATCTTTATGGTAAGCTAGAGAAAATGATTCTATTTTCCAGAAGGGTGTTAAGCTGACCTGATTGTGGCTCACCGTTTGTTTGCTTACTGTACGTACGCCTACTCTTCCATGACTCCATTATATTCTATGGTGTATGCAGTGCGCACTGCTGGAGAGACCCCCCCCAGCCTGCAACCAAATGCAGTAGTGATACCCACAGCGCAGTAGAGGCCTTTACTGTCTATTGCTGACCACTATTCACGTGCAGGTGCGAAAGAGTGTCCAAGTCATGGCTACAAACCAAAAAGATCGAACACTTGAGCTGTGCACACCGTGTACATTTCAACCATGTCATTCTAGTATCAAGCTCCTTGTTTGTACCCCCTCCGTTTCCATTTCCTGCCTTCAGCACCGGTGAGCTTCTTGAACAAACGGATGTGAACCGCCACTCGACCATCCACTCGCTTGACTAAGGACTGGAAATGGCGATGGCCTCGTCTCTCACAAGGACCGTGAGTGAAGGGCTCCGCCAGACCAACGGTGATGTTTGGTTCACCGGCAAGTGGATTTTTCTTGAAACGCTTGAGCCGGTAGAATGAATGTGGTTCGAACAGTTCAAACATGTTTTGCCTCACCTGCCTGTCAGGTGAGGGTTGTTAGATTTTAAGACCTCCTCCGCCTCGTCCTGAACCGCGAGTTCTGGCTGGCAGTGTTCCCCACCGGACCTCAACCGCGAGTTCCCACTTGTATAAAGCAACTCAAAGAAGAAAAAGGAACTCCCAACCACGCAAACATGAAAGAATGTACTTTCAACACACTCCCCCAGCTTGGATGGGATTTTTCGCGTGCTGGCCTTCTTCTGTCTGGCACAAGCCCACCTCCAATCGAGCCATTCTGGTGAGAGTAGCAGGGTGGGGGGCGTAGATCCAAAGAGACTCCGTGCACGGTCTTGTTCGCTGTCAACTTTCCTCAACTCGCTTGCTCGTGCACATAGAATCCGTTGGGTGTAGAAGTTTTCTCTTGTTGCAACTAGAGTGCTGGGTAGTTGGAGCCGATAATCAACAAAAAAGCGCAGCAGGCTTGCAAGTGGGTCCCTCAAGGTCCCTCCAATCTGTCTTTAACGGCACCAAAGCACGCTGCCGTGAACTCGTGCGTTCGCTTTCAAACGCCCAAACCTAAAGCTTTTCAGGCTTTAGGGTCATCACCTGCGGCTAACCATGCTGCAGAGGATAGAGGAAGAGGTTGATAAGGGTGTCTTCTGGTATTGAATACTGGTGGCTAGGGTTGACTATCACCGTGACTTGCACAGGCTCATGATTGGAGTGACGCTTGTGCTACCGTCATTGCTCCTTGGCCATTGGCCCAAATCTCTCATCAAAACGTTTGTATGCCAAGACTACTGGCCATGCAGGTCATTTGAGCTGGGAAATTTGGTGATGTCCTTCGGGTGCAGTTGAAGACCATGAAACACTGCATTGTCTGCACGTGTTGGGCTTGTTCAGGACTCCCCGGAAGCAGAGCCCGCTGCAGCAGCGGCTCAACAACCCGGCTTGAACTTGATTCGTTTTATGAGTCTCAACCCCCTGATTCTGGAGCAGCGGGTTGAAGCTGTGGAAATGCTGCAGGATGGCGACAATCGCCTGGATTATATAAATTTCCTTGTGGGGGTTATCTCATCTGCTCGCGGCTAGTCACTGAGTACTCAATAGCACTTGCCAGTGGGGTTGTTTGCCAGCTAGCTAGAGCAGCTGGCTGCACATGCCCAGTGAACCGTTGGCTGACGTCCCATACCTCAACAGCGGGGGGACGCGGGGGACCTTCGTCCCGACGTGGCGTCTCGTCCCGCGTTTGCGCCTCGCGACACGCGGCTCCCGACACGTTCGAAGACACACCGCGCGTCGCCCCCGACCCACTCGCCACCTCCGCTGCTGCCAATGGCTGCTGCGAGCGTGCAACCTTCTGCTTCGCCATTTTCTCGCCCGAAACGCAAAACTTTTAGTTCGACCAAAGTTCTGCGAGACCTGCGTTGGTCAGGGGTGGCCTGGGTCCGGACACTTTCCGGTGGATTCATATGACCTGCTAGATCTTTGAGGTGTCTTGCAATTGCTGCAGTGCACTTTCATTTGTGTCTTCCTGGCATGCCCAGGAGTTCATGGACTGGCTAAAAGCTGGGACACCTGCTGCCCAAGAGCTGAGTAGCTTGGAACTCAATTGCGCCTTGATTCTTTTTTAAAAAATCCCCGTTAACATTTCCCCTATGAGTACCTTACAGCTCAATATTTTATATAGACATGTATTGTTTTTAAGAAATGGGCTGGTCATTCTATAGGCTATAGGGGTTCATGGCCTTGTGTCCTAGAAAACTTGATCCGGGAATATCATTTTGTAGAGGTCTGATGTTCTGGAGTCAGTGCAGAAAAGTATTGAAACACGATAACACGCACACTTCTGGATGCCTGACATATCATGTTGATATATATATATATATATACAATTGTGTGGTTTGTGGAGACAGTTCACCATTTTTGCAAAAGAGGCATGGTTGTCATGTCATTGTGTAGTGACCCCAGCTTTGACGATGTTTGTTGGAATGAACCCAACAAGGTTATCTCTGGAACCGCATTTTGTAGTAGTGTGTTTGGCTGTGGGGAGTGCAGAACCGATCATTTTGTAACCAAAAGTAACCTGAGAACTCACAATTCTGTAGAAACTCCCAGGGGGATGCATTTTATACACATGTTTTCTTACAAACATGTATGTCCCCAAGATCACCTCCAAAATTCGAACGGGGATATACGGGATGTTTTTAAAGATCACGGCCCTTTAAGGGCCATTGGGGCCGGCATGGTCCGACCGTTCTTCCGGTGGGACGCGCTGTTTGACGTGGACTCTCATTTGTGCGAGTTTGGGGTCTCTCGAGTCATGTGCGAGTTTGGGGCCTCTGGAATCATGTGCTTGTAATAGTCTGAAAACATGTTAGTAGATTACTTGACGAGTTCTACACATCCAGTGTCAGACTTCACATCCAGCTTGGTGAGTCATTTAGATTCCAGGCACTGTTTGTCCAAGATCCATATGATTACTTGTGAGCAAGACAACCTTAGTTGACGACAACGACTTCCAGTGATCTGCTATTGAGGTCGTTTGAAAGACGGCGTACCAAGACCTCACACTTATTTAAGCACATAGTCTCAATGAGTAAGATATAGTGGCATTCACAAGAAACATAGACAGGACATATCGCACTTACATGAATTTCACACCAAATCCATTCGGTTCCTGTTAAGCGCGACCACGCCGCTGCGGTCGCCGAGGTCAAATCATCATCGCCGAGACGGGCTCGTCGACCGCGGCGCGGCTTCGGGACCTCTTCAAGCGCTTCGACAAGGCTTTTGGAACCGAAAGGGGGGGCGGAAGGTGGGACGAAGATGAAGAATTCCAGGATTTTGGTTGGAAGGGTTTAGAACCATTCTTTGCATATTCTAGTTCACCTACGTTCACCTTGTTGGAAGAGACTGATACTGGATCAGGTTGGATTCTCCAGGGGTCCGGAAACCACCGCACTTCACCGCGGTGGGGTGCCACGTTTTGGTCACCCTGGCAGGTGGGAACGTAGCGGCATGGAACGAAGGTCTTTCCCTTCTTTTGTTCCACAGGTGAAAACCCAATGGAAGAACATGTAGAGGCCGGTGGGTGCCGCCGTATACGATGGGATATTTTTTCAACCATGAACCTACATCTACTGGCATTTCGCCGAACAGACAGATGGAGCTCGCTACATAGTTGAAAAACAAAAGATGTTTTTGCAGACCTGCTAAATGTACTTTCGCCTGTCAAGTCTGGCCGGTTCTTGGTGATACAATGATGTAGGGGACAAGTGATGATACTGCAGCAGTGGAAACTGACATGTTCCCTTCTTTGGTCTTCTAGGCACTCGCCACCCATGCGGGGGCCCGTGGCACTTCTCCACCTCGAATGAAAAGAAGTCGCAGCGCGCCAAGCAGACTGCACGATGTGAACCTCAAAGATAAGTTCGTTGTGGCTATTCGACCCCCACAGAAGTTCCACTGACAGTCATTTAGAAGCAAGAAGGGCTTAAGCCTTAAATGCTTGCCTCATCCTAGCCAACGATCCCTCCAAGAACAACACGCACGCTTCGTCATGTCAATCTGACATTTCATCGCTCACAGGATGGCGGTGGCACATTAGACTTGGACGAGCTGCTCGGCTCAACTGCTGTTGTGGCCTTCGATCGAGTCGTGCGTCTGGTGCTTCAGCACCTGGTAAGCAGTTCAAGAACGACATGCCAAGAGCTAAGCTCTTGTGTGAAAGCCAGCCCAAAACCCAGCACGTCAAGAGCCCGTCCAAAGCACTGGACCCATTGGACGACTTGGATTTCACCGACCCTAAAAGGGCTTCTTCTGGCCAGGCCCAGTGGGTGGGTGGGCCCAGTGGCTTTGGGAGAGGAAGTGTCGAGGGAATGCGGAATGCTTTTGTTTCCTTTGGACTTTTTGGGGGTCGGTAGTGGGTCATACTACTATATTGCAATTATGAGACACAGTCGAACAAACAGGTGTTTAAGAACACAGATTTGTTAGCCGAGAGCCTGACTGTCTACAAGACGCCAGAACAGAGTTTAAAAGGGAGACATGTCTTCAGTCACATGGTTTTTAGTTTGTTTTGCCTTTGTGAGGCGGTCTTTGGGGGTTCCGCCTATTGCCTGACACGACCGAGCTTTAAAGAAAAGGTTTCTCTCTGCTGTTCACTGGCCAGCTCTTATCAGGATGTCCAGCGTCTTCCGCGTGCTGATGCCCTGCTTGACCTTTCGAGACATTGCACTCTTGATGAAAGAGCTCGACACAGGTGGATCGGAGGGAGGGGGTTTGGATGGGTTCGCGTCTCTAAAAAGAAGAGACCTGCATGTGATGTTCGAGCTCGCGTCGATGCGCATGTTGACACTCTTCATCTATTCAGTTCGAGCTCGCCATTCAGTTGTGAGACCTGCATGGGGTGTCTTTTCTTTATTTTTCTTTCTCCTTTCTCTTCATTCGCCGTCGGCCCGACGGTCGGGTCCGGTCGGGTCCGGTCGGGTCCGGTCCGCGGACTGGTCCGACGACTCGGACGACGGCGGCCGACCTCTCGGTCCGGTGTGAGGCGGCGATGAGAAGGTGTCGCGCATGGAGTTCCTGGCGTGGTTGCAGAAGGGAAGTCCCAAGGCTTTGGAAGTGAAGAAGGCACGTCCGTATTGTGTTTCATCGGATCTGCCGCGCGCCGAGTGTTCCGTACAGTCGGACGGTAAAGAAGAACACCTATGTCGTCAAGAAGCAGGCAACTCATCTCAGGGCGCCCAGTTGCTTGTGGCTTGCTACCGATGGAAGAACGCCTGCACCACTTGAAATACAAAGAGAATCTATCATCTGTGTCTGTCTGTCCTGTCTGTCCATCCATCCGTCCGTCTGTCTGGCTACCTACCTACCTGCCTCCCTACCTCTTCAAAGTGACCCTTGTTCCCGCCCCAGTCGCCACGGGTCACCGACCGAGGTCATGCACTGAGGTCTAAGCACCGACTTGGTCATGTCATGGTTGGACCATGACTTCTTCTGCATCGTCCCCGAAGGCCTTGAGATTTTAACCCCTTTTCGATGTTTGAAGATCCAGGACTTCGTTTCTCAGGGCTTTCGAATTGGATGTCCTTCCTTTGGACGGCACAGCTCGCGAGAACCCTTCGCGACAACCTTGGGAGGAGATCATCGCGACCACGGGCATTCGTTGGGAGCAGCGGATCAGGCGCGAGCGGATCTTGCGACGGGAAGCATGGCTTGTCAGCGGCTCGCGCCTGGAGCTGGGCGAGTGGGTGGGATCAGGAGAAGATTCCAGAGAAAGAAGAGCATCCCAAGGTGGACAGGTGGACGGCCTGAATCATTCCAAGGTCTTTATCCACACTCCTTTGAAGTTCAGTTTCACGGCATTCTTGCAGCCCCCAGCTTTGAGTCTTGCAGCCATGTAAGACGCACGAATCACCTGGAGGAGGGCCTTCCAGACCTACGACATTGACAATTCGGGTCTCATGGACATGGGCGCCGCTCGTTTTGTGACAGGTTTGGGAGGTGAGCGGTGAGCGGTTTGTGCGGATGGGGGTGTGGATGGACTTGTTCGGCATGCCAACAGGTTTCGCGTTGCTTCGGTTCATTTTTGATGCGTTTGTCTGTCTCTCCAAAATGGAACCCCACTAAGTCACTAAGGCTTGTGGGTCCACGAGTTTACAGGCACAGAGAGCTTTGCGAAGCTTGCGCGTTGTATTCATGAGCCTCTCTTTGTACCTGCAGTTTGCGCGAGATCCTCCCTTTTCGCTGCGTTTAGAAATGCAGTTATATATTTCCATTGCCCGTACATGCCTCCCCCAAGGCAATGGCCATGGCATTGAGAAACCTGGGCTCCCTCACCAACGAAGAGGTCCGGAACGTGTGCGACTCGGCCTCAAGGACCCTCGTGACACGGCAAGGGCCATGTCAGGGATCTCTGATTCCAGAAGAGCCAAGTTGTACAAAGCTGGAACATGTGCTGCTGCAATTCATTGTGTAACCGGATGCGATCCTTCAGAATCTATGCCCTTGATTTCCTGCATGAAGAAGCTCTTGAAACGTGTATGAGGTTTGCCTTACTTTCTTTGTTTAAACATATATTATATAATCGGTCGTGATTTGAGCCTCTATCACTCAAAAGGCTAATATACTCGTTCTCCATCCTCTCATAGAATTTAGAATATGAAGAAACATCCAAGGCCTCGTTTCTGAGGCCAGCACGCCATTCACCCAACCTGCGAAACTGGAGAAGCGTTTACTGTTGTTGACTGGAGAAGTCCACTCGTCCACTCGACGTAGAACCAACAGAATGGAAGCGGCAAGCAAACCACTGAGAGCGGCTGCTGAGAGCTCCACTCCAGCAGTTCTAAGCCTGCAAGCCGCCCCCATTTCGCCAGCATGAGGAAAACCCCAAAGACAACCCTCGAAGGCTCCCAAGCGGCCAAAAGGGACCCTGCTAAGCAAGGTCCGCGCCATGATACGCCCCCCAACACCCATGTCATTTCCCGGATCCACGCGATGCCTGTTGAGTTCGTTCTTCTCCCCAGCCACTCAGAACCGGGTGCCGACCGACGGTCGGCTTGGTGCGCCCGAGTGGCCCCCCTGTTCGGTGCGGGGTGCCGGGTCAAGGGGTCAAGTCAGTCCGAGGTGCGGATCTGGACAAGTCCAAGGATCATCGGATCTCCTACGCCGAGTTTCGCGCTTGGATCAAGAACGGCATGGGCTCACGAAGCTTAGGTGGTCAAATTGGTGGCAGGGTTCCATGGAGGGCGATGTCGTGATAGGCTTCCTCCAAGGGGTTTGCCTTTGGGAAGCCAAAGTTTGGTCTCAACAACGGGATCGGCATGTAGCGAAGACCAACCTTGCCTTGGAGCTCAGTTTGGCGACTATTGGAGCGGAGTGTCTCAACTTGGTTGAATGATTTGTTAGTTTTTTTGTTCATCGGTGTGGGTTCACTGGCCAACCAGGGAACCCGGATTGGTCAGTTGACCAGCGAAGATGAAGAGCAGGGTCTATGACTGACGAGGTTTGGTCAAGCTGCCGGGTCAATTTGGGGGCCACAGGTTGGACTCACAACCACATGGATTTGGCCTTTTTTCGTTGCCGTTGACGTGTCTTGTTCACCTTCAGGACGGTCCGAACCTGGGATGGTCCAGAAACATCCCCAGTCCCAGACATTTCGTAAAGCAATTCAATTGCCGGAACAACCGCTTGTTTCTGGTTGCTGGGGTTTCCAGGCAGTCGTCACTTTTACAAAACCACTTCTCTAAGGTACCGGGTGGGAGTGAGTTCTGTTAAAGAGGCGACTGACAAGGCCTGCCAAGAACCAACCAGGTCATCTTAGACGAGGGAGGTCACCAGATGGGTGGACTGAGCCTGTGAAGCGAAGTTTCTTTGTCATCGATCAAGGAGAAATCGAGAAGGCGAAGGCCATCCTGGCGCCCAGTGACAGTGATGGCTTGGAAGCGGTCTTCTACAACTTTTGTTCCTTGTCTAATGTGTCTCAAAATGGTCAAAAGATCAGCTATGAGCTTTTTCCAAGCTCCTTGGACTCTCCGAGGAAGAGACATATATTATATATATAACTGTTTGAGGTGCTACACGGGTATGTATATACCTTAGGGATCCGAGTACAGAACCTCAGGTTCGCTACGACTGGATCCTCCAAACCTACACAACAGTGTCTCCAATCACCGTACCGATAGAAGGGTGGCAGTGGATCCCTAGGGGTAGGTTGTTGAACATCAATGGCAAGTGATTGGAGCACGCAGAACGAACATCATTATCTCCGATGGACATGTGCGACTGTTGTTTTCGCCAAGTCCCCAAAACGTGCTCTTTACCATTCTTGGGAAAAAAAACACTTGTTAAAGACTGAGTCACCTTCCGAGGCGGTGCTGGCAAAGCAGAGCTGGATGGGAAGAGCTTCATGAAGCTCTGCGAGGACGCTTCGCTTGTGGGCCACCGTGATTTCGCTTCTGCCCACCTTTGGGACCGTGAAACTTTAATAATAATATAGACTAACGTGGAAGAAAACATCTCAGCATAACCATCCAAGAGCTAACAACACTTCTGATATATGGGACTTCCCTCAACGGTTGAGCTGTGGGAAGCTGGTGGTGTACTTTTTCTCAAATTACTTAAGGCTTCCTACATGGAAGCAGCTCCTTCGTGTGGCTTTCCGGACTGGAGGAAGCTGCATGGATACCACATGGAAAAGAACCACATGGAAGGTACTTCCTTCCAGAGGGGGGGGGCAACCATACCTGTGCTCGTACGAGGTCATCCAGGACCCTCTTGAGGTCCAGGACTTGACTCACCCCATCAGATGTGGCTGACGTGGAGCTGTGGCGGGCCGGACGGTGATCCAGAATTACCAGCCAATCTCCACATTCTGACAGGGATGCTTTTGGATGACCTGACCTCAAACTGGATCTTCAAAGGTACCCCCAAACCAGCATGCCGCACATGCCCCTGTAGCCGAGTGTTCACCACCACCTAAGAAGGTTGGCTGGCGGACGTATCTGATGCACCCTTGGTATTGTAGTTTGTGAAGTTGTTGTAATGTATAGCAGAAAATCACCAGCCTGACAGAAACCTACCAGGAGCAACTTGGGCAAATTCATCTAACAAGACACATCGCACACGAAATGACAGCAACATGCGATAGCGGCAACTTGCAATATATATGTGTTGCATATGCTCGAGTCGATGTTTCCCAGTTACTTGTCTATAGGAATTGTTCTGAGTAGCAGCTCACTTGGAATATAATCTGGATAGGGATCTGTAACTTTGTCATACTTTGTCCCAACTCTGAGCATTTTTGTCCACGCACTGACCAACATTTGATCTACTTGACTGGCATCTGGAAGTCCAGAGGGTATCTCCCATTTCGTGCCGTTCCGGGAGCGTCGGAAGTCTCGTTCCCATCTGATCGTTACGGAACGGACGGTGTCTCGCGAGGGAAGGCCATCGATCGGAGCACTGCTTCAGTTCGAATAGGACGAGGGAAGGCCAAAGACTCAAGGCACTCCTGTTGTTGCATGATGGTAGGAGCTTTAAGCTTGGTATAGTATACCAAGATGTACCAAGTGAAGCACCATCGTTCGGAATGCTGAAGCGCTCTTCAGCTCTCCAAGAACGATCCTGGATGCTGGCCCTGTGAATTGCATCACGATAGAGAGTGATAGATCGGCATTGTATAAGTTGTGCTTCCTGCTGCCTTTGATAGATAACACTGCCGCACTGCCTTTACCTATGATATCGCAGAGTTCGGCCCTGGAAGAGGCTCCCGTCAGGTGAATCGACCTCCCTCTGTCTGGCGCGCCAGGTACCTCCAGGTAATTTGGCCCCTGCGAATGCCATGATCCAAACCTCGAACATCAAGCTGTTTGGGTTTGGAACATTTGGATCATTTTGGAGAAACCTAGGGCCTAGTCACAGTCCAGTTCCCTTGAAAATTCTGGGTCTTTGCCACGAACCCCTTGTGGCTAGGTCCAGGCGTACAGAACAACGCCAGGACTGCCAGCTGCTGGATCGCAAGATGGGAAGCGCGCAGGTGGATTTGATCTTCTGTGATACCCGCGTGAAGAAGAAAGGTGGGGGTGTCATGGGAGTCTGATGGAATTGTTAGAGGTTAGGGATGGCCATGCGCAAGTGCCATAGTCCCAAACTCAACATTCTCTTGAACAGTTGTATTTTTGTCGTCAACTTTGCATGGTTGCTTTTGGCAGACGGCTGATGCGCCGCCACCCTGCCAAGAGATGAACATGTATGGTTCAACCATCCTGCATCAGGCTTGAATTCTTGTTTTCACCCCACTGTATTCGGTCAGGCTTCCTGGATAGCTTGCGATCGAGCATGAAAAGGGCACAAGAGACTTTCATGGATGCTGAAGATGACTTTTTCCTTTCATGGCTGGTAAACATCCTCACTTGCTTGCAGGGCAGCGTACCATTGATGTGGTGCAGTTTGAAGTGGCTTTGGAACTCTTGGCAGAAAGGCTGCGGGTGGTCGAGAAGGTGGTGTGTTAGTTTGCAAAAAATCACAGCCCAGAGGGCCATGAAAGGTATAGTCCGGAAGACTTCATAAGCCAGTAGGCCCGGTTGGGCACTGGGAACACCAGTGGCAGGGGCACCCCGAATCAGTAATGTTGAGGTTGTTCCCCGGCAGTCTGAAAACCAAACCCTCCAATGATCCTTTCTTTTCTGTTATATAATTCTATATAGTATTTCTTGTTTCTTTGTTGTTTTCGACCGACAAGCTCCGACCCCGCCACTCAAGTGTGGTCACTGGTGAGACCTTTGTGAGTACCTGTGGGTCTTCAGGGTGACTTCGGGGTTTGGATTGGAGAGACCTTCAAGTGCAGCTGAACCTGAACCGGATTTTTGAAAGCTGTCTCGAAGGCTGTGTGCTATTGCTGGGATTCCATGAATTTGAAGTCGTTCGGTTCTGGTCGCTCCTTTTGGATGGACTTTGGGAATCACCACAACCAGAAGTTCAAATTCTTTGGGTCTCACAGTACTTTTAACATCTCATGGGTTTTGAGGTGTTTTGTTTCCTCTTCCAGGGCATATATACACCCGTATTACCTCTTTGGCTCCAACGGCAGTCTATCAAACCAACCCAACCCGGCACCTTACAGTGCGCCAGGACAGGAGTTCCGAAGCAGGACTTGAGAATGGAGGCAGGGGGCTGAAAGCTGCACCGGAGTCGGTCAGACTACAAAAAGAACCAAGAGAGGTGGAACGTGACCGGGACCATAGGACCTGTCACTTACTGGGGTACCCAACTGGGATAGTCGAACTAGGCTATAGGGTTCTGACCCACCTCTGTTGGAATGGTTCTGACGAGTTCGGTGACCCGAGTGACCCGGAATTTCCTGAAACCTTCAGTCGGTCAAAATAGAGTCGAACTGGACTTCTAGAGTTAACCTATGGGGGATTGGACAGTATGGTTTGGGTCAGCCAGAGATATCACTCATCATCACTCATCCAAATACGTGGTTTTCACAGGAGTCGCCACCATCGATCACCTCCAGACTCCAAACGCCTTGCACTCGTCCACCTGGGTGCGACTTGGACCCAACCCCTCTGAGAGGCTCCAATCATCGGGTTTGGCACTCCGGAGTCGCGGTTAACCGCTGGGGCCGAGTCTCCCAGGGCTGACAACAGATCCTGTTCGCACCCTCACTGACTTGGGTGCCCGGATCTGGGGCCGATCGGCTGTCTCAATCGCTACATGTACGTGGTTCGCCGAGTGAGGTGCTTCTGAAGGGCAAACCCGACTTCCGCTCCTCCACTGGCTTGCGTGGCTTGGCGGGGACGGATTGGAAATGGAGGACGCTTGGAGAGGCTTTTGGATGCTTGGACCTGGAATCCAGCCGATCGAGTTGTGACAGAACTTTGTGACCTGTTTTGGAGGGTGCTGATCGAAGGCTTTGAGCTTGCCAGGACCTTTTTCTTTTGAACAACGAAACAGATGTCGATGATTGATGATGGATGATGTTCCTGTTTCTTCTTTTGAAAAGGCACGCTCAGCATGTGCTGGCCAAATCAATTTGTGTCCCTCTCCTGCGTAGTCCGGGGTCAATAGTGCAACTCCACTAGTCGGCTTTCCGGAATCAAGGAAAGACCGTGCTAGGGTGGAGGCCGGGGTGCAGGTCGGAAGATGGTGGGTGGATGATATCAATCGCACAGTCAGGGATGAACACGTTGGGAATGAACCCCCGATGAACTCGAGTGCCGAACACCTTCTCCGCCGAACCTGGGACGCATCGCGGCTTCGCCGACGGCCTCCTCCGCGCGCCGAGAAGCCTTCCGGAAGATGGCGCCGGCGACGCCAAAGGAGGGCGAAGGCGCACGGTCTGAGGGGTCTTTGAGGTCTGAAAATTCAGAGGGGGTGGATGTGTGGCCTTCCTGTAAAGAAAATGAATGCAAACTTCTTGAGAGGTACAAATGGTATCTACTGGTGTGGATGCTTTGTGATATATCAACTGATGTAGTTGGGATTTACTTTGAGGTCTTAAGATGGGCGATCAAAGCGCCAGCTTTGATCACCCATCTTTGGGACACTTTTTCACCCTCAGATCCCTCAGGTAAGTGGACAGGTGCATCGCTTCTAGTAACAAGTGCCTTACTAGTAGTCACAAGAAGCTAGTAGTAACAGGTGCCACGCTAGTAGTAACAAGAAGCCTGTTGCAGAACTGCTGTCGCACCATCCCATCCCAAGCAGAACCTCCCCCTGATTGGAAAGGCGCCTCGGCACGGCGAAGCCATACGCTCCGACGATTGCCTGGGTCGCTAGGAGGGGCGAGTTCGTCGGGACGAACAGAAGTGACGTTCGTCCGAACGAGGGAGAAGTGAGGGAATGATGTTAGTCGTATCTGTCTACTCCACAGGATAGATGGTGAAGCCGCTCATTTGCAGTGGCTTTCGAAAATGGTGTGTTTCTTTCTTTTTTCTCAGCTGTTGCAAGATACGTGTTGATTTCTGAGCCACCACCATGAGCAGGGGAGTCGAAGTGTGGGGGAGTTCTCATGCATCAAGTATGTTCGGAAGCTGTGATGATAGGATGCCTGATGTTCTAAACATGGTGCTCACAAGAAGCCTCCCTGGCCCCTGGCCAGGTCTTTTGTGGGCCCACTTAGAGTTTTTGAACCAAATGGTCCACTCAGATTGCTCACCGAATATGAGTGGCTTGGGGAGTCGCAGTCTTGCCTTAAATAGAGGCATTGCTGCATGAGCTATTGGCTTTCCTGAATGCTAGGAGTTCGGTATCCAAAAAAAATCACCCGAATCGACCACCTCCAGAAAGGACACCCTAAAGAAAAGGCCTGCTTTTGTGTCTTTTCAAGAGGCACCAGTTGACTTGTTTCGCCTCGGCGAAAGAGACAATTCCTCATTGGCCCTTCAAGAGGTTTATAGACGGAATTTGTCCAATTCTTCGGGTCTCAAGTGGCAGAAATACTGTTTCCTTCCGGCCGCTTGACATGCCAGATCGACCACCCCATCCAAAAAAGAACACATCTGGACCCTTTGTCCTTTGGGCCTTCGGGTCGCCACAAACACCCGTAACGTCGTAGCGGTGTCTTGTGTCGGGTCCATTCGCGCATTCTCTCCGACCTGTGGAGTGGAGAAAACGATGTGTGGTCGTGCTGTTCGCTCGAAACGTCGCCAGAATTGGGGGGCCAGAGATCCATTCAAACCCATTGAAACCCATTGTGAGAATGGTGCGTCTTCGGAGAAATGAACACTCCTCACGGCCGGCGTCGACGATCGACCGACGTCAAAAACGGGGTCCTGGTCGACAGGAGCTCCACGAAGTGAGAAGAAGGTGGAGGCTTCCAAGCTCTGGCAGGCACCGGGAGACCCGGAGAAAGCTTGGCTTCAGGGTCTTTTCTGTCGAGCCGTGGGTGAAGTTGGCCAATGGTGGAAGCGGAGAAAACACCCTGGGTGGGGCGACCAGAGAAGCATGAGAGACACAGTGGATTCTCTGACATGCGGCATATGACATTGAAGATCATTGAAGTCAAGTGCAAGTCTGAATCGCTAGCTGCTAGCTCCAACCCAATCAGTAAAGTCAGTGAAGAAGCCTGAAGCCTTTTCTGTTTTTGTCGACATGCTAAACCTAACAGTTTATTTGGTCAGTCCTTTCAAGAGTTGACGCTGGCAGCGACGAGGGACCGGGGGCTGGTCTTAGCCTGGTTCCATGCCTTCCCATTCGTGTGACAACTCGAGAATAGCCAGTGGTTTCGGACCCTGGATTCACCAAGTTGGCTCATGGATTCCTGCCACACTTCATTTGAGGTGCTCGCCGAAGATCAGAAGGTTCATCCGCAGGTCCCCAACAATGAATCCATGCTCCCGGGAATCCGGGAGTATCGACATGGGAATTCATTCATGGTTGAACTAAAAAGGAGCTTTGCTTTCGATCCCACGTGTGGCACAGGGTCAGGGCCCGTGGTTCTCGCCGGGTTTGGCTCCCAAGTTCCCAGGTCTTCAACCGCCACACCGCTGCAGGCGGGTTTGGCGGTTGGCTTAGACGCATGGACCCCCCAAAAACCAGCAGACGAACACCTCGGACGGATGAGGAGTTCCTTCAGATGTGACCAACGGGCCGGGTGGGCGTTCCGCTTTCCGAACCCTCCAAGCGGTCACCCAGCCGACCCGCCGTGGCGCTGCAAAGCGTCACACGATGGTGGAGGGATTTACCTATAGGGCTGCTGGCCCACATCCTCAGGTGATTGGGGGGTGGGTTCCAGGTCTGTTCCTGCATGCACCTGACCTGAGGCATCCTGAGGCCCCAGAGCATCCCGGAGCCCAAGAACTTGGGGTCCCGACTTGCCAGGTCGCTGCTTGTGGCTCATCTATGCCGAGAAGCCGAAACGTCCCAAGAGCCCTCCAACGGGCCGAGCGTCGCCACGGGGAGCGCCCCCCAGGCGGCGCGAAGCGGCGGTCGGACCGGGGGTCGGGGGGGTCGGACCCGCTCCACCAGGCCGAGCGAAGCCTTGCGAAGCCTGAAGAAGCGAGCCAACAGCATGTGCCCTTACCATGTTGCTTGCACATCTGACTTCAAGAGAAGAAGGAACAGGATCCGACTTCAAAACAGCTGCAGGGACCAGAACCATGCAGCTTTAACTTTAAATCGCTGCAGAATGAGGAGCAGCAACAACCATTGGATCATGATGAACCATGCACATTTCAAACATGGCTCACCAGAATGGGTATTCAATGGGATCACCACATGAACAGGACACCTGTACACCTGTACGTCAAAACCAACCGTCAGAACTCTGGGTTGGCGGAACATCTCATCAAACGCGTGTCCTTGGGGCTGACGGACTGAGAGGACCCAGCACCCTTCCTGGCGGACTGAGCTTTGACCCCTGGTTGAAGAGTTTCATGGGCACGGAACAGGGCCTAACCTCCTACCCCCAGGTTGTGGAGGCTGGTTTCTATGGCTCTTACAGTGAAAGACACCGGGCGGGACGGTCTTTGACAGTGACGAGTACACCAAACGGTCGGAGAATTCA